CATTTACAAAGTATGGATCGATATTACAATTTTTGTCATTATACTATCATGGTCATTCACCATTCGAACTCTCTTGTTAAATATATATATCCTATCAGTTTAAAAGTAACATGTTTACAAGTGCAAACTATCAGTAGCAATAATCATAATACTAACTAATCTAACTAGACTAAAGAGTTACAAATATGATATTTTGTCATTTCGTTAAAACTATTGCAAATTAGTTCGGAACAACATATTACCTATACGTGTATACACAGTAATAATAATATTATTATGAATAATAATAATAATAATAATAATAATAATAAACTAAACGTTCTTAAATACATGGAAAAATGTACGTTTATATGAAGGATTCCATGACTCAGATGATTAATTCAATCATTAACTAAAAGAAGTAAATTGTTCATTAATAATTATTTAATTTAAAATAGTTTTGATTAGTAACTGTTGAGTTTATATGTATGGGGAAGATTCAAATTTACACATTAGACTCTATTTATAACAAAAATGAGAATCACTTATAACCAGTATTTCACCGAAAAAAATATTTATAATGAAAACTGAAGTTCTTAACACAAAAAATAAAACGAATAATATATTGGATTATCAACAAAGAAGTTAATAGGTCAGTATGATCTGTTATGCTTAGAAGTAGTGGACATTTTTAAAAATTAACATTAACACACACAGAAACAATCATGAGAAGTTTTCTGTACTCAAATACAAATACAAGCACGTATTGTGTAATATCTACGTTTTAGATGTAATTTCAGCTATTTCATTAGACTAATGTCTTTGTTTGACTGCATACTATTACAATAAAAGCTATACAAATATTGTCAGCAAATGTAATGGATTTTGTAAAAGAACAGTCAAAATGAAAATGCTTTTGTTTTGTCATGCATCAGCTAACCTCACTGTATTGTTTTGATAGTCTCAATGTATGTTGAGTCCACAAGTCATCTGGAAATGATGTGATTTTGCTTCTAATACGTTGAGCATCTGCACTGTATCTTATCTAGAATGAATACATATATATTTGTTTTTAGGTCAGAAAATGTTGTAAATTTTATTAAACGCGTAGACATGAAGAGTCAACGAATATGTGTTCATTTACTTTAAAAAATTAATTGATTTTAAGAATGGTTTATATGACTCCGTAGTCTTCAGTAATCATTACAGTGTACTGAAAAATGGATGATGACAGAACTAATAGGTAATCCAATCACTCACTAGTATACATTTGTATCCATTAAAAATGAATTGTACAGTCTAGGTGTCGTACTCCCTAGGACTAATTAACACAAAATACCTTCAGAAGTCTGAAAATAAACCTATACTTTCTCTGAGTTTCGACCATATTTAGTTTATTTCCACAAATACGCCATACTATCTAGATGTAACTGTTTATTGGGTGATCCAGTCAGTAATTAAACCTAGTTTACTTATCCCTCTTGCTTATAATAGCCAAAAACTTGAAATAATAGATAAAGATAGACCGACAGAATGATAACTTTTTATGCGGAAAGTAAAATCTTGTTTTATTACTCTATCCAAGACATTTTGTTTAACAATAAATCGTTCTATATATTATATAGGGCTGTAGTAAGAATATAGCCTTCTTATACTCATTAAGCTTATAAAAGTGAAAGGGACTTGATGCAAATCTTTCTAGTATATAACTATAAATACAACATATAATTTGTGATTTTTCTTCTTATCGCTCCAAAACATACATGACCGAATTGTGTACATAGTCGGGTAACTGACTGACTGACTAACTAACTACTTTAATCTCAATATATGCTTTCATTGTCTTTTGACAGATAGATTCTTATCCGAGTTTTGTTCATTTTGCCTGAACATGGGTTATATTGTGTTGATGACTTCTTGACGAAGAGTGTTTTTTTAAATAAAATAATTATAATTATAAATGAGACTGATCAAAACAATCATTTGAAGATAGTCCTAAATTTAATTTCAGATTCTGTTATACATTAGTAAGAAACGGGACAAAATACTTTGTCTTATTAGGAAAATACTTTTCTGTATTTCCCTATGCCATTCAGTTGAATAGCTTTCACAACTCGGAATTCATTAAAATATTTTCTGTATTTTCAATTAAATATTTCACTCAGTGAAGGAAATACATTTAAATGACCAGTCAAGCATAACTGAAAAATAAAAACCTTTATAGTGGCAAAATAAATCTGTCAACCAGTACACTTTCTCATCAACAATTTTGTGCTTTTAAACAATCAATCAAGTGAATGGTGATCTCATAAACGCGTTTATTACAACCTACGAACAAATAACATGAACCAAACTAACATGGAATGTATTCAGTCGGTTTTTTAATAAAATATTAGGCTTTGAAGTATATGGAATTTGTTGTAAATATGCTTTAGAATTATTCAAATCATGGCGAAATAATACCTATGTTAAGATATTTTAGACAACGGACAGAGAATTTCAATGACCAACAACAAATATAAGACATGTGTGTGCATTAATTCTTTATAACTTGAAAGTGTGTCTTTCTACGATTTGTATAATTTCCTGTTTGAACACAAAATAGCAATCAACTTGCAGAACAATTTGCTGAAGATTATTTGTTTCATTTTCAGATTTCAATTATCTCAGTCTCAATAGGAATTCTTGAATTTCGGGTTAAACAAATTTCAAATCAATAAAAAATGTACATTCTATAGTAGATAGCATATGACTTAGTTAAATGAAAGAAGATCCTATTGTGTAATAAGGTGGGATATCATGACAAACCCTCATTATTATAAACATTTATCATATTTATTTTGTTGTTGAACTGTTGGTTAACAGAGATATAAACCTACTAGGATACGTCAAAGAAGGTAGACCTTGGGTGACAAGAGACATTCTGCAGGAAACCACGAACTCTGTTTTCTTGTTAGTGAGCATCTGTCTGCAAGTTCGTCTTTAATCTTCAAAAAATCAGTGCTTCTCATGAGACTCAGAGCTGCTTCACTCAGCTTCATAGTCTTAGACGTTATTACTGAGAATTGGTCAAATGTAAAGAGCAGCTTTATTCACCTACACTTGACTGTCAATCAGGTTTTAGATTTGAACCCAGTTTGACATACTTTGGCGTGGTTTCGTTGAATCTCAAAGATTGTATCTTTGTTAAGGACTGTCAGATATTGACAGATATTCAAGAGGTCATGAAGACCAGTTATTTTCAGACCTTGACCGACATAACTAGAAATGATGCTCTAAATCCTCATCATCATTTTCCCATTTTCATATATGTCATTACTGCCATTAATGCTCGCTGAAAACTGTAAGTAAATACAATTTAGTTGTGACTGAATATCTTTTGCTTTGCTCTAACTAATACAACTGTTTCGTAAGTCATTATTATAAACTATGTAATAACCGATCATAATGTTAGGACAGTAATAGAATCAACAAACAATTAAGTAATAATTCTATAATTTCCGTGAAGTAATAGAAGTTGATTTTTATTGATTAAATATAGTCATAAACGTAGTTATATATTGTGTATGTTAAACATATTTTGTTAAAGCATTCCACAGAAACTTTATTTGTTAGGCGTCTCTAATAAAAGTGAAATTCAAAGTTGACATTATCTACTTTATATCTATCAAGAGTCAAATTATTATGAGCACGAATGAAAAGTGGCTAGCAGTGAAATCCACGATGCGTTTCGGCCTGGTTGCGACTTGTCAGAGGGATATACCTCTATTCGGGAGTTGATGTTCACTCCGAGACTCGAACACAGTATTGCTCACTTTGAACGCGACAGATGATACTGAATTTGGGTTCCGGAGTCAATAAATCTGAAATGAAGCTTCAACCGATTGACATTTCCCGAATAGGACTAAACGCACGTCCTGGATTTCAATGCTGTCCACCAACCACTTTCCTTTGAATGCTTATGAATTCATAGCAATATCGAGGAGATCCGCTCAGGATGCATACATTTGCAAAAGAGACGGGCCAACTGCAGTCCTGAACATCAATAGGAAGACTTGAATAACTAATACGAATAAGTCTATTTTTTCTGTAAACTTCCTGTAATGAAATAATGTTCATATATTTAGGAATAAATGTTCACTCTAATGATTGGTGTTATTTCCTCTGTTATTTCCTGTTGTATTTCATTCTACGAAACGTTTAGTAGGAAAGCTTTTAAATTATCTATACGTCTATCATATTTGTAATTTGGATGAGAAATAATCCATAAATCTTTAAGTTAGTGAGAATAAATTTCCGTAAATCAGGAGACTTCATCATTAGGTTCTTAAATTACAAAACTTCAAAATGAAATTTCATTTACCGAATAAATGTACATCAATTTGATTTACATATGTATTTTCATCCATCACAAACTTCTTTTTATCTCAACAATTATTTTCACTTAGTAAAAGTAATTTATGATAGTCAGTCTGGCTTGAATAAGGTTGTTGTACTAGGTGTTAATTTACTCAAGTCACCAGCTAAGTATTGGTCATCCTGAAACTTATTGACTGGAATTGAGTGTATATGTTTCTTTTTCTGTATATAAGTTTGAGATGCACAAATGTATTTTTTAATACTTTTGTGCATGGAGTATGATAATATCATGTCATTTTGATTTACCTTTTTTCATCACATTTAGATACTTACTATCAAAAACAATAATATTATTCATTTGATCAAACCATCCTTTCAAATGCTAACAGATTTCTAGTATCTATGTATTTGAATAGTAAAAAGCTTTGAATGAAATTTCAAATGAATCAAGGGTAGATACCTATTTAATCACTTATTATTTATTAGTATATTTTAAATGTTTGTTCAAAATACCAGGTCACTTTTGATAAAAAGAGACTATTTCTAGTCCTTAGTCCGTGGTTAAAATTATGTCTAGCTAGATCAATAAAAATGTCACGCATTAAAGAATGGTCATCAAAGTGATCTAAAGAAAACAACTAGGATTACAGAAAAACACTTACACTGCTAAACATTCTTGTATTGTTAGCTACTCTCAATAGTTCTGGTGTATCCGGAATGAATGTAAATGAGGTTGGCTTTGGAGTGTGTCTACACAAAAATGAAAAGTAAATTGTAGGCAACATATTAGAAGAATAAATTCCCAGAAATATAAGTAAAGCTTTTTGACCTAAATGAACGATTAATTTATGAATACTATTTTCATTTGGAAATAGTTCTTGTCACGAAGTAGGATCTACCATTATATCACTAAAAACCATCGACCGATGAATGGATTTTTTGACCAACTTCGGATGTCAAGAGTGGTGTTCGCTCATTGGTTCACCTGAGGTTGAATCCGAAACACAACCTTGTAGAACTTAAACCATCGACGTTTAGACTAGCAATTCACAATTCTGACACCAGCCTGTATCAGCATTTCGTAATGTGAACGATCAAATTTGAACTAACGCTAATGTGACTACAAAAAGATCTGAACATCCTGAGTTTTGCATTTGTATAGGGTTCTTGGTGAGTTTATTGGACTGTAAGAAGTTCGTAATTTAGTTTTCCACTGTTTTAGAAATTATCCCAGGTAGTGACAGTTTGGGAAGAAAATTATCTTTGTAGACTCATTCAAACTTTGCTCACTTGTAGAAAACCGCAGTGTATATGTTTGACTTAGTTGCAGTATATAAGATGGATATTATCTGGGCGCAAAACTGCTCAGGATCCCTTATAATCATCAATAATTTCTGTGACTTATTAGGACCAAACTTGCAAAAAAATTGTTGAACGTTTGAAGCCTGTAAATACTAAAGTTATAAAGATAGTCATTGCTGTGATTTGCATTAATCTGTCAAAAATTATTAACAATTGTAAGATTCAAATGAACTTACGCTGCACAATATGGCTTCTTATCATACCCACCATGATAGTTACATATGCTTAAGGCCATCCCACAGTGCTGACAACGGAAGCACCTTCTATGCCATACCTATAACAGTTGTGTGCACATAGGAAAGAGGGGAAAAATCATAAAGCAACAAAAACAAATATGAGATGTATCATACACAGCGTATTCTATGGAGTTCAAATATGATTTCGCAAATTTAACTATCTTATTTATGTTAGAGATTTAAAAGTTAGAATTTTTAATAATCATTTTGAAATGTAAGTTTGAATTGTTGAGAATGTATGTAAAAATGCATATATATAATTCATTTTGTTCATCATGCAAGAGATATTTATCAAACCTTGTGATCGTTCCTTTCCACCACAGCTAGCAATACTAACATCTGATGTGAAAATCTGTGATTTAGTATTTGTTTATTATTGTGCTCATTTAAAATAAAAATCGTTAAAAAGAACTGGTTTACTAAATTATCAATTCGGAAGCATAGTAGATCTACTCATGTTAGTTAATTAAGCACTTTGTCGGCTTTCAGCCTAAACCAAATAAAATAATTAATTGTATGCACCACTCAACCTTTTTACTGTTCAAACAACAAGGAAAATTATGCCAGAACAAGCTTTAAAGAAATAAAATGCGGTGTAGTTATTCAGTGATTATCGTTTTCTAAGCACACAATATTTTATTGCCTAGTTGTTGAATAACATCTTACATGGTTTAACAAATAGAATAAATTTTACCGTACGAGTGATATACGTTGATTTGTTGCTACTATATATGTGCAATATTGAGTACTTACCTGTGATGAAGAACATTGAACTCAACTTTCTAGTAGTTTTTGTGTAGTGATGTGTTAATTTAAACTGTGTAAAAGACCAAGGTGCCCATAACTTAAGCATTCATACTAAGGAGTTGGAGCAAATGACTAGTAACTTGGGTTACTAACATTCACAATAAACTATCCTCTTCAAATAATTCCTAGGAAATATACCCAATAAACTACTAGCGAACATAACCAAAGTTTGTATTAATCCTGACAATAAATGCGGAAAACAATCGGTAATCTTGGTTTTCACCTGTTTTTATTTTAAGAACAGAATTTTTAATCTGCAGCACTCAAAATGCTGAAATCGGCGTTAAAAAGTTGAGAGCTGAAGGTTTCAAATGGCTGGCTTAGCAATATTTTAATCAAAATAATTCACTGAACTTTACTTGTACACTAATCAAGAAACGAAAAGTAAGATAAACCATAGAATAATTCAATTTTTTATTTTAAATGTCATCAAAATTATATTTTGAGTGGCGTTCTGGGTTTATTATGTCGCGAAATTGTCCAAACGGACTTATTCTGACTTTAGAACTGATTATGGTGAAGCGATGAACCCATTTTACCTTAGTATTTGAGTGTAGGTTCGTGATTTACTGTTGAATATGTAAAAACTTTAACTTTTAAATGTACTTCTCATCCATTTATAAGATAAAAGAACAATAGGCGTATGTGATTCGAATAACTTTCTACAACTATGCGCAGTCTTGTCTGTTCGTGCAGCTTTTTACCAAATCCTTGATTTTATTTGATCGGACCAAACTTTTTCCAGAGCCTATATTATGGCGTATATTAGTCACGTAACATTTAACCAAAATGAACGAAAATTAATCCCCGACACATAAAAATGTGCATTACGTGAGCACAGTAGAGTTGTAGTGAATCAACTGATAAATTATTAGCTGAAATAGTCATGGACAACCGTGTAACCAATGAGGAAATCTTTTGATCTCTTTAGTTTGTAATGGGAATGTTTGGTTTACCTAGGACGTGAACATCTTACTAAGTTTATTTGCACAAGCTAAAGGCCAACTGTCTCAAAAACATCCCATTCTGTTTAGCTCCCCCTATATTCTGTATAATATAAATAAAACAGGAATCCTATGCCTATGACACTGACTACATTATAAAACCAATGATTAATAAAAATATAAGTCTATATATTCTCAAAAATTTCAATGAATGTAACTAGGTTTAAAATACTAGCTGGTCAGTCTATTGACTGAAACGTTTTTACGGCTTCTTTAAATTCACGAATTCGTTACGTACGATAAAAAAATCCATCGTTAGAATACTCACTACTTGTATATTGCATACGTTATAGGAGTGGATTATTTCAGAAGGGTTCAAAAATATTTTCTTACTATATCTTGATTTCTGATGTCTAATTCCGTTCAGAGAGTTGATTGTAACATATTATGAAATAGCTTGGTGCAAACATAGTCTTAACCACTGTAAGATTGTTTATTATCCAATCTTATACAACCACTCACTCCAGATGACTATCTAATACATAAATAAAGTTTTCTGCAGATATGCTTATGTTTTGAGAAAATTACATAAAAAAACGTCTCTTTGAACGACTAAAGTTGGAAGAACTATGCTTGCACACGTACACGGCTTCACCACTGAGAGTGCCAATAAAAATTATTATAAATAAAACGCCAAGCAAATGAAATCTAGGGATTAATCATCTTCGAGATACGAAGTCGAGCATAAGTTTTATCCCGGTTAATGAGCAGATGTAGTTGCAACAGTCATATGAGATCATCAGATTGATAAGTCTTTACTTGTCCATAGCCACTATTTACTACTGTCTCATTTTTTCTAGGACACTCGAAAAATTTGAGTCCACCGTGATTTCGGTTTGTAAAAAAATATTTATCGCGATTAATGTGACACAAACAAGGGTTCCTCTGATCATATAAAAATTTCAAAGCCTGTTTTTAAGTCTTGTAAAATTTAATCCATTGAAATTATGTTTTTCGAAGTCCCAAATATTCACAAATCAGCTTCTTTATAGAAAAAATACAGTGAATCTAGAATTCCACGAAAACGTATGTTTTGTTGAGTCGCATACATTTTTAGGTTTACGAAAAAGAACAATTGACAGTGTTTATTTACTTGATGATTGATACTAATGTTTGAAATTCAAAATGTCCGTATAAGAACGTTTTAGGTAAATCTGACATTTTAGATATATTGAAAACACAAAACATGTTTATCATAACCTTTTAAGTGGTTTATCTACCCTCTTGGTTTATTGTTCCTACGGCTTTGTGTAACATTAATAGGAATTAATGAAAGACGTTGGGATTAAAACTAGCTACATTCTTAGTGTAAGGAATACAGAATGTTTCACTCCGTTACATCAGATAGTAAAGGTTCTAAAGGATTTTGAGAGCTAAAATCTGGTTACGCTGCCTGCTGATTCAAAATAAAACATTACATTTAAATGATTTTACTCAGGAGAGATTCATATTTACGATCCAGATATATGTATTACATAAGTTCTCTCGGTTTATTTATACCCACATATATGTTTTAAAAATATGGCAAAAAACAATAATGAAACTGAAAAAATCCACAAAAAACAACCAAAATAACTTTTTAAGACAACCTGATGACGTTTCACTAACCTGATCAAAACATCTTATCAATTCCAGAGGATAAACGACTTCGCAGCACGAAGCACAAACTTTATTTGTGTTCATCATAAATTAGTAGACTGGCTTATGTGTTTTAATCGAAATTTTATTTATTGAAAATAATGATTTTCAAGATCTCCGAACTAAGGGTGCGCGTTTTTATGTGCTTAATTCAGAAAAGTATACAATATGCAAAAAACTAATCTAGTGAAACAGTCAAACATACAATTCACTAATCAATAGGTTAGTCACAACCTAGTATAAACTGAGTTATATCTTTGGTTATTTTTATTTGTAGCATGGAACAGTTCTATAATTTTAATATCGTTCTGTACAGGTATTCGAAATACATAGTCAAGAAGAGATTGTTTCTCATGGATTTGGACTGAACATCAGTACATATTTTAGGGGCTAACAATGATTTTTCATGGCAAAACAAATAGTTATGGATCTGTTCTGAAGTGTCCTACAGTTTTAGCGGTGTAGATATTGTGTATTAGTATATTCAAAAAAGTTATTAAACTAACTGATTAGATATCTGTATGGCCCTAACCGAATATCTAGCAGTCAGGTCACAGAATGTTGGACAGTTCAACGATCATCTTCAAGGCCAAGGCCAACCAACGTTTGGCAGCTTGTTGTACGCTACGAATTGGCTTGTGCGTGAGTGGTCGCACTCTGTTTTTTTGTACCTACTTTTACTAATATATTTCTTTATCAACATCCTTTGTGCTGGACGGTCATGAAAGTAGCTATAGAACTTGGATCTGACGAAGGGTGGTCCACGTTATGTACCAAGTGTAATGTGTGACCTCGACGTTGACTGGTTAGTCGCACCATTTCTGTATAACTTGAGTAGGCCCTCAGATTGTTCCACACGGATATGTTCCACTCAACGGACTTTCAAATGTTCGTTGGAAACCAACAGAGAAAGGTTATAGTTCTTGCCTCTAGTTGGTGGTGAAGAAGCTGGAAAAATTTGGAAAGACTTTGTGTTATCGTTTTGAACAGAAAATGAAGTTAACTCGCGAACTTAAGTAGTTGATGAGTAAATGGTACGTAGAATCGTGGATAGGTAATGATCATATAAGATACCATACAACATGAACTATGAGGTAAAATAAAGAATGCGGCTTTTAAGAAGAATTCACAACTTCAAAACATTATAAAGTCTACGATCCCGCGATGTTTCCAGAGTCAAAGTGTGTCGAAATGAATTTACTGACCTTGGGAGAATATGTTTAGTGTATGAGAAATTATTTTAGGTTTGTTAATGGAAAAGCAAGTGGAGTTAATTCCGAAAAACTTTAATTGTTACGTCAGACGGTTTACATGGTCAATTCACTGAATACTTATTATCTGTCTGCTTGCTGAAATTTAAACATTTCAACCACTATGTAATATTATGAGTGAGTCTGATTGAAAGAAGTCACACACACTAGTTTTCTTTTGTGCTTGCAAAATTAATCAATTATTGGCAATACACAATTCCCACAACTGATGTTCTGGCTTCTGAATCATTAATAGTGAATTTATAAAACTACTAGGAGATTTGGTGTGCGTAAATACTCAGTCAACAAAATATTATTTATTGGAATTATATATATAGCAAATAACTCTGTACTGTAGTTGAGCTTCAGTTAGAAAACGAATCATTTTTCTACAATGTCTGGTTCATAATCTCCAACATTCTTCAATGCGAGGAAAACGATGTAGCAGATGCATTACTGAGATTAAATATTGATACCTTTTCAATTTCTGGCATAAACTACCAAGATGTGGTAAAACTTCAGAAGCGCTCATGGAACAAGGAAAGATTTTGCAATGTGAGAAAACGAAACTCTTATTCCAAAACATTCCTGTAAATCACAAGGACACATTGAAATGTAATATCTCAGGTAAGACTCGCTTCGTGATACCTTAATACAAGAGACCAAACGTTTTCCAACAATCGCACAACATATCTCAATTAGGTATAAATCAACGGTATGGCTCATCACAAATAGGTTTGTATGGTCAAACATAGAAATTTACGAAAAAAGGCACAATAATTCATCCAATGTCAGAACTCAAAAGCCCACTGACACATCACGCCTCTTGTGAGAATTTTTCCCTTCGCTAGTGCCAGGATCGACCACATTCATCTTGACATCGTTCGACCATCACTAATATCCAGTGGTTGTATGCGCTGACTAACATTTATAGACGGATTCACGAGACGGCTCAAAACTGTGACGCTGAAAGACACGACAGCATCAACATTGGCAACCAAATCACTGAAACGCTGGGTTGCAAACTTCGATGTCCCAACAAAAATTCAACCGACCGTGGAGCCTTGTTTGAAAGTAAGGTGTTTTAGCAACTCACAAACATTTTCGGCATGAAGAGGATTGGAACCAAAGCTAATAATCCAGCTGCTAACGGGATGACAGAAAGTTTCCACAGACAACTAAATGCCCCACTGACAGGCACTGGATGTGATTTCAAATGGGATGTCAAGCTTTCTCTGGTACTATTAGACATTCGCCCAACTATCAAACGAAACATCGGTTGTTGTGCAGCTGAGTTGTTTTTAAAAGGGACGTTACGTGTGCCTGGTGAACTCCTTGACCGTGCAACAGATATTCCAGCAAACATAACAAACTACGTGCAACAATTAGAACAGAAGATGGAATCTGTCAGATCTGTGTAACCCCAAACCTATAAAATGAGATCATTCGTACCACAGAAATGATAGAGCCCTTGCAGACTCCTTACGACTGTTTCTTCAATATTGTCAGAAAATATTATAAAAAATCACAGTAGAAAGAGCCAGTAAACACAACACTGTTAGCACTGATATAGTGATCCAGCGAGTCTAGAGTTCACTGAAAAAACAGAAAACAGCATAATCGTCTAAATCGGCGGCAGAGCAAGCATCAAACAAACCATCTGCAGCAAACACCACTTCACACCGATGTTCATCACTAACAGAAACTACAAAAAGATTAGGAAGAAGAGTTACTGAGTAGGTGGGCATGTAGCAATCATCATATTTACCTAGACCGCATTCTGAGACATTTCTTAGAACACAAAAGCTCCTTCTCTGTACTATTATCTTTATTTTAACTACCAGAATAAAAAATTTAAACCATTTGAGCTGTCTGAAGGGAGAATTACAGCGCTTCATGATTAACGCTGAGAGCGATACCCCTTCTGACAACAATAGCAATAATTTTTATAGGTATTGTAAGGCATTGTAGGAGACCGGAAGAACTATTCAAACAACAACGCAAATGAGGAGATACGACTTGATAGTGCTCGGAATCAGAGAAACCCATTGGGTTCAAGCCGGATAGAACAGAATACGTTCAGAAGAGATAGTGCCGTGCTCCGGTCAAAAAGATGATAACACTTCGCATATTCAGAGATTTGCTTCGATGCCGTTCAGAAAAGCAGGTCATACACTTATAGGATGAGAATCACATGGATCTAGGATCATCAAAGCATCTTTCAAAACAAAGAAGGTGAGAATCACAATTAAACACATCCAATATTATGCACCCACCAATGATGGCAACGACGACGATAAAGATCTGTCTTACGATGTACTGCAGTTAATCGTAGAGACGTTCCCAGGAAAGGATCTGATCATCTTGATAGGTTACTTAGACGCCACTGTAGGAATGTACACCACCGGCTATGGAGATGTCATGGGACGATATGGACTGGGAGCAAGAAACAAGAGTGGTGGGAGATTCGTAATTCCATGTGCATTCAACAAACTGGTTATAAGTGACAAAATATCACCCCACAAACGCATACACAAAGCTACATTTGTCTTACTAGATTACACTACACAGAACCAGACCGATCATATCTGTATCACTATAGAATTCAGGACTATGAGAGACGTGAGAATCAGGAGTGGAGCTGACATAACTTCAGATCACCACCTGGTTGTGACCGAGATGAAACTGAAGCTAAAGAAACACTGGCGGAACAGCATTATAAAGGTTCAAATGGTTCAAATGGTTGTGGACGGAATAGAAGAAGCTTTCGCTTAACAGGCGTCCGTGTCTAGTAGCAGGGGATCACCAAATCCTCCAGGCAGGAACCTAGGTATGTTAACAAAAAAAGAGGAAAATAAATTGGTAAATCATAGTGTGATGCTGTCCTTGATCCTTAAGAATAGGTCAAGTTGCCTCTTGAAGGACTCCTGAGAAGTCGCTTGGACTAGCTCGGCCGGCAGCGAATTCCAGCTTTTGACAACTCTTAAGGAGTAGAAGTTGTGTCTACATTCCGTCTTGCTATGTTGTGTTTCCAGTTTCTGGGTGTTACCCCTTAGGTTATTATTCGAACTAAGCTTAAGTAGGTGTTTAAGAGGATGTCCAGAAGTGTTAAGAATGCTATAAGCCATTAATAAATCACCTCTAAGACGCCTATACTCTAATGGGTAAAGGTCTAGTGAATGGTGGCGTTCTTCGTAAGGTTTAGATTTGAGTCCTCGAACTGATTTCGTGGCTGGACGTTGGATACGCTCCAAAGTGACCTTGTCCTTTTGGAGTGAGGGAGGGAGTACTATGATTCCGTACTCTAAATGGGGACGGATGAAACTATTGAAGATTGTATGGAAAGTTCTTCCGTCAAACTGTCCGAAAATGCGCTTCAATGTTACCAGTGCAAGGTTTGCTCGGAAGGCGTTTTTGTCACAGTTAGCGTAAGACTTTAAATCGTAGGGCACCAGGACTCCTAAATCTTTTTCGACTTGGGATACTACTAGAGAGGAGTTTCCTAAGTTGTAACTGTAGTTTGCAACATGTCGCAGATGAACCAATTTACACTTTGAAGTGTTAAAGGTAAGTCCGTTATCGTCTGCCCAACTTTGAAGTCGAGTCAGATCCTCCTGAAGTGCCTGTATATCGTCTCGGTTGCGTATCTCTCTCCAAAGTTTAACGTCGTCGGCAAAATATAATAAGTCTGACATTACCTGTTGAGGAAGATCATTTATGTAGATCAAGAAGAGAAGAGGCTCTAGTACTGAGCCCTGGGGTACCGGACTAGGACATTCCATAGCCTGAGATAAAGAGGAATTAACCCTAACCTTAAAGTGTCGATTTTTTAGGTATGAAGTAAGCCAATCGATTAGAGGTGGTTTGATACCTAGTCGTTTGAGCTTATTGGTAAGACACAAGTGGTTAAC